TCAGAGGAAGATATTGACGCATTTTATGACGAGTTAGACATTGCTGTTGATCAATGCAAAAATTGTGAAGTAACAATGGTACTTGGAGATTTCAACGCGAAAGTAGGAAGTGAAAAAGTGTACAGAATAATGGGTGGCTATGGCCTAGGAGAAAAGAATGTGAGAGATGACAGATTAATAGCATGGGCTGAGTCACGCAGCATGATAATAGGTAACACCTGGTTTAAACACCATCCTCGAAGATTGTGGACTTGGAAAAGTCCTGGTGATAATGTCCGCAATCAGATTGATTATATTTTGATTTCAAGAAGATTCCAGAGCAGCTTAGTTGGAGCAAAAACTAGACCAGGGGCAGACTGCTTTAGTGAACATGTTCCAGTTGTAGGAAAAATTAGAATAAAACTAAAGAACATTAGAAAAACACCACAGAACATCAAGTTAAATTTAGGACTTCTTAGAACGGATAAAGAAATTAAGGAACAGTACAATGTCACTGTACAAAACCGGTATAATGCAATGGAAATTATACAGACTATTGATGAACAGTGGGATATGTTGCGTGAGTCAATTCAGCAGACATCAAAAGAGACAATCCCACCAACCCATAGAGTTGCAAAAAAGAAATGGATGTCAACCGAAATTCTGCAGTTGATGGATGAAAGAAGGAAGAAAAAGAATGATAAAGAAGAATACTCTAGAATACAAAAAGAAATAGTGAACAAATGCAGAGTGGCTAACGAAGCCTGGCTGAATCAAATGTGTACAGAGATTGGGAAAAATCACAGGAATGACTCACATTCTATGTACCAATAGATAAATATGTTAACAGGAAAGATGACACGTAACAGCACTGGATGTTTGAAATCAAAAGATGGTGACTTATTAATGGGACATAGTAATATAATTAACAGATGGACAGAGTATATAGGGGAATTGTATGATGATAATAGACCAGATGTAGAACTGCAGACCAACAATGATGGTCCACCAATAATGACTGCAGAAGTTTTGGATGCAATACATCATATGAAGAAAGGAAAAGCACCCGGGCCAGACAACATCTCACTGGAAGAAATCAAAGCACTGGGAGATTTTGGAATTGAAATAATAACTAAACTTTTAAATAATATTTATAATAGTGGGAATATTCCAAATGACCTTTTAAAATCCATATTTATAGCTCTGCTAAAGAAACCAGGCACTTTAAAATGTGAAGACCATCGCACAATAAGTCTTATGAGTCACGTGACTAAGATTTTACTGAGAAAAATAATGAGAAGAATAATAAACAAAATTAAACCAGAAATCAGTGATGAACAATGTGGATTTGTAGAAGGAAAAGGTAAAAACAATGCCATTTACATCCTAAGGACATTGTCAGAAAGAGCTATAGAAGTAAAGACTGATTTGTACTTATGCTTCATAGACTATACAAAATCATTTGACTGTGTGAAGCATGAAGAAGTAATCAAACTGTTAGAAAAATTAAACATTGATGGGAAAGATCTACGAATAATAAAGAATATGTATTGGCAGCAAACAGCAGCTATAAGAATAAACAACTGTTTAGGTACATTTCAAAGCATAAAGAGGGGTGTACGACAAGGATGTGTACTGTCACCTGATTTGTTTTCAATATACAGTGAATATATAATGAGATCTTTAATTAATATGCCCGGAATTATGGTTGGTGGGCACAATATAAACAATTTACGTTATGCTGATGACACAGTCTTGATAGCAACAAGTCAGAAAGAATTACAGGAAATGATAGACATTGTGGTGTTAGAAAGTGGAAGAATGGGCCTCAGTTTGAATAATGGGAAGACAGAAGTAATGGTGGTATCAAAGAAACAAATTATTCCTAAATGTGTAATAAAAGTCAATGGTGTTATTTTAGGACAAGTACAGAAATTTAAGTATCTGGGCACATGGATAACATCAGATGGAAGATGCATAACTGAAATAAGAAACAGAATTGGACAGGCAAAAACTGCATTTTATAAAATGAAAAACATCTTGTGCAATATATCCTTGTCATTGAGAGTTAGAAAAAGAATTCTTGCTTGCTACATACATCCAGTTTTAATATATGGATGTGAATCCTGGACAATCGGTAGGCAGGCCAAACAATTTTTAGAGGCCTCAGAGATGTGGTTTTACAGAAGAATGCTTAGAATACCTTGGACAGCCAAAAAGAGCAACCAAGAGGCTTTGAAAGAGGCGGGAGCCCAAAGACAACTTATCACAGACATCAGAAGGAGACAGTCACCATTTTTCGGCCATGTTATGAGAAGAGGGAAAATAGAACATGTTGTGATCACTGGAAAGATCTGTGGAAAAAGGGATAGAGGAAGACAACGAGAGAAGATGCTTGACAGTCTTGTTGCATGGCATGGAGGTGTGTCGGCACCCGTTATGAAACATGCTGCAGGAGATCGCAGATTATGGAGAGGCATGATCGCCCACACCAGTCGGCAAGGCACCTGATGATGATGATGATGATGAATTGCCTTTCCAGTGTGTTTTTGGTTTGTCTTTATTCCTAGAATCTTTGGGTTCCTGAGCATGGGCATTGTAGTTATACTGTTGTCAGGTTTTCTCAGTGTGTCCTGTCAAATTCCAGTATCTTTTCCTGACCTCTTGATTCACTGGAATGTGTTCAGCTCTCTTTGTAAACTACTACTAGCTAATGGAGTCATTTAAATGCATCATACCAACCATCTAGTGTTACAGAGTGTGCATACTGAATGAACATACTGTAGAATTATCCACAGACCAAATGACACAGGTGTTGGATGTACATCTTTGTCTTCACACTGCTCATTGTAATTTATATCAACAATACCACCCCACTTGGGCATTGATCAACAATACCACCCCACTTAGGCATTGATCAACAATACCACCCCACTTAGGCATTGATCAACAATACCACCCCACTTAGGCATTGATCAACAATACCACCCCACTTAGGCATTGATCAACAATACCACCCCACTTAGGCATTGATCAACAATACCACCCCACTTAGGCATTGATCAACAATACCACCCCACTTAGGCATTGATCAACAATACCACCCCACTTAGGCATTGATCAACAATACCGCACAATATAATACTTATCTGCAAAGGCCAACAACTGCTAACAAAAAAGTTTCCTATTAAAATAATAGTTTCTGCGGAACCTCACTGATTAAGTTCTTTTGTGACTGTCAACAAGATGATTGTGCTTTGGACTTTAAGCATGGCTTATTGGAAACAATAATTGAAAACTATTTTTAGATATCGTGGTAATAGTGGGCAGTATGCTGTAATCTTTATAACTGTTAAAATGGGTAATGGGTTTACAGTTAGCTTTATAGTTTCTATTTATTATAAATTGATCATTATGTACCCTGGCTATAAGTATAATCTGTCATGTCTCCCCATCACACATGATCACCAGAATCATGGATAAGCTCATTACTTCTGTCTCCTCCATCCATATGTCCATGCCATCCAGGTATTTGTCTATTTCCCTTCCTCTTTCTCTTTTTTTCAACAGTCTTCTAATTTAACCAATTTCATACACTAGCCTGTGAGTGCAGGGACTGGCCGGAGGGTGCTGCAGAATCAGAAATTCAACAAATTATTTATGACTGTTGTCTCCCAGGTTATGTGATAATCTCTGCAGATGGCTCTTTATAGAGAGGCAGATGAAGCTCATGGGGGTTCTTATCAAAAGTGAGTGAATGTTGCTTAGTGCAACAAAGCCTGGCGTATGACACCACAGCATCTAGTTTGAGAATGTAGGTGGAGGCATTCACTTTAGCCTTTGGCTGGCTTGAAATCAGCTGTACACACATGTTGTTGAGAAAGGTGCTCTGTGAAGTGTGGCAAGCATTGCTTCAGAGGTCCAGGGCAGTTAGCGTCTGGGTATTTTTTCTAGGAGATGCCGGTGTATTCAGACACGAACAGGCAAATAGACTGGCTGGGTTTGCACAACTTGGTGATGAATTGATGCATGACAAGCTAGATATTGTATGGGCCCTTTGGAAAAGAGTGAACAGTGCGGAAGCACAGATGGATCGTCATGGTCTGAAGACAAAGTACTGCGAGGAGTGACCAGGGGATCTGGCTGGCGATCAGCAATCAAGAGAAAGGTGAGATGGATACACCATCAGACTGCTATTGATACCACTGGAATTGGAACTCTGCATTTGCTGCTGAAGATAAGGAAGGGGCACTTTTGGGAATATGCCGAGTGCTGTGATGTCAATTCCTAATTAAACATGAAACATTAAATCAGTTTCCTGCATCCATTCTTTCTCATAACATCTCCACATACAAAAGACTGTTTAAAGTCTAATTTCTCCCTAATCAGTTATCATTGTCTTGAGGAGGACTTCTTTGGGTGTTTTATAACATGTTCTTCTTTAAAGCCAAATTTATAACATGTTCTTCTTTAAAGCCAAATCTCTGCTGCAAGTAGGTGTATCCCAGATGCATACAACAAAAGCAGTCATTTTTACCAGAGAAGGCATTAACTCTTTCTGAATAACAATCTCAATATATATTGACATCTTTAAACATTTTATACAGCTAACAGTGAACATTTTTGTTTTCTCATTGCTGAAACCTTGTCAGTTTATGTTTGTACTTATTGTGTATACAAAAAGAAATGGTCTAAGTCTGCATTACTCTGATAACGCATGTGGTTACATGTGAGTGGCATGTTTGTTTGCATTTGAATTTTTTTTAAATGTTTAGAATTGCTTCAGTTTATGTACTTCTACAGTATGCCTATGACATAGTGTGTAGTTACCACGCAGTAGGTTTCAAAATCTGTTGTTTGTTTCTTTGTCACACTTACCTCTTTGTTAACAATGAAATTAGAATGAATAAATAGCTGTTTTTGCCAAACTGAAAACTTTTTATTATTGTTATTATGTGTATGTTTTTAATTTTGTCAGATGTATGTAAAGCTTTCTTTGTGTTTTGTCTTCCCATAGAAAAATGAGTTTGTGCACAAGAAAAGTTGAGAAGTTCATGCTGTCTATCTTAAAGAAACACAGAAATCTCTCGAGTGCAAACCTACTGGTTAACTATGATCCACTATTCAACCTTTCACCAGTTTTTAGTAGGACCAACAGTTCTAATCGAATGTCGGAGGACCACAAGTCCAGTCTGATCAAGAGTCTGCTAAGAGTGGCTACACAAGCTGAAAACTCTCATGGTCAACCAGAAGTTCGGCCATCAAAACATCCATGTCTTTGGAAGCCACCAAGGCAAATTCAGCAGCTTTTGCCACACATGTTTTCTGAAGATGGAAAACTGTTGCCAACAGTCACTGTGGAGGAGCAGCTGAAAGGACTGACGCTGGTCTGGGAGCTAGAGGAAGCAGTCAAAGTGCTGAAAACCTCAGTGACCAATGGGTGTGAGCCCAAAAGTTCAATTATTTTGGATTTATTACAGCAACTAGCAAATATGGGTGAGGTGTGTCTGCTGTAATGTGTTACTGTATTTTGATTCTTTCAGTCTCAATAAGTGAGTTTTGTAATGCACTCTTCCTGTGAAATCCATCCCTAATATAATTCCTTCTCCTACATATTATGTTTGGTCATAGCATACTACATACACCTGGTTTCCTGAATGAGTACTTTCAGTGTGGTGTGCATTGAGCTCTGTGAAAGAAATGCATTCATAAGCTTTTCTTCTTCTTCTTCTTCTTTTCCACCATTTACCTCAGCGAGGTGTTGGGGAGGGGGATGTAAGTTTCGTGTGTGCGCTTTTTCCAATGCATTGTACAAGTTGGTGGTCATTTCTGTTAGGTTGTTCCTGATGATGTCTTTTCTTCTTATTCTTCTCCTTCTTCTCTTCTACCATTTACCTCAGCGAGGTGTTGGGGAGGGGGGGATGTAAGAAGATTAATTTGTGCGCTTTTTCCAATGCATTGTACAAGTTGGTGTTCATTTCTATTAGGTTGTTCCTGATGACGTCGCTCCATCTCTTGCGTGGTCTTCCCCTTGCCCTGTGTTTATTATATTTTTTCAGTGTGGCAGTTGGTACCAGGACATTCTTGTCAGGTGGCCAAATCATCTCATCTGTTGTTCTTTAGTGACTGGTTTCAGTGCTAGTGTTCTTCTAATTTCTTCATTCCTGATTACTTGTCACACCAGCAGCTCTCCTAAGACATCTCATCTCTATTGTTATAATCTCCGCTCATTAGTTGTAGTAAGAGTCCATGTTTGGCACTGGCAGCACAATGTCAGCCAAAAAACTGTTCTTATGAGATTTGCTTTGACTGACAGAGGAATCTTCTTATGCATCAGAGGTGGTTTTAATTGTCCTATAACCTGATTTGCTTTCACACATTGTATGTTGATTTCTCTATCCATTCTTTCATCTGAGGTGAAAAATGACCCTAGATATTAAAATTGGCTTGTTTGTTTTATCTGTGTGTATTTTCCTTTAATTGTGGCGTCCGTGGCCTAGGTGTTGCGAGTCCGACTCGTAATTCCAACGTATTGCGATCGAAACCCACTGCTGGCTGCATGGATTTTTATCATAGTACAGGGCGTTACAGGTGGACCCAGCCTTAAATGGATACCAGGATGGCTGTCCTGGGGAAGTAAAGACGGCCGGCGTAATGCTGAGCACATAACCCACCTGGAGCCGATTGATCTGTAAAAATATGGGTGCTCTTTGCATATGTCCGATGCGCCTAAGGCGTAATAAGGGATCTTTACTCTTTTACTTTTTTTATTTGCTTTAACTGATAAGCTTTTCAAAGATATTATTTCCCCCTCTGGAAATTTCTGCAGAACTTGCTAGAACTGAAAGAGTTAAAACATAGAAACTCATTTGACATGCCACTGAGGCATATTAGAGCCTGTATGTTACTAAGGTCTTTAAGAATTTTAGTCCCTTGGAATTTGGTTTATCGAGGTTTACTGTTTTAACTCTTTCAGTCCTAAGGAATGCATCATACGTTAATAGGTTCCTACCTAGAAGCCCAGTTAACACAAGCTGTGCCAATTTTACATTCTCTTTATTACTCTTTGGGCCTCTGATGCTTAACTACTGGGACTGAAAGAATGAATATTGTAACCTACCATACACATAATTTTGTTGGCACCTTTCTATCTTTCCAGTCAGGAGTGTTATTAATTAAGGCCAGGGAGGAAGTTTCTTCTCTCCATAGTACAAAGCCTTGGCAGGCAGTATTGTAGAGACTGTGTTGCACATGTATAAGTTGTTTGAAGTACAAGCACCCTGTGGCACATTAGAAATATGATGCTAGACTTAAACATTTATAGACCAGTCCACACTCATTGTGAGATGTTGTGGACATCACACACCCATCTTGACTTCTCTGGATATACCAACTATCCATTTTAGGCTAGCTCCACCTGGGAGCCAGGGTCAGTTTTCAAGAGGTTTGGACCACCAGGCAAATGTCTAGTGACTATGCTACCATGGCTCTAGCTGATTGAAGACTTTGCTTTTGAAATTAAGATGAAGAAGAAAGCATTTTTTCTCGAGAAATTGTCTTATATGACATATTAAAATTAAAGTCAAGAGGATGAACTTTATTGCACCAGGTTTGATTCCATATGGCTCGGTCTATGTCCTTTGAAAGGCTAGCCACCTGCTGAGAACATCATAAAATGCACCGCACAAAACATAGGCTCCATATCTTCAATAAAGATTCCCAGCAATCTCTTTGAGAATTGATCAGAATGACATAGCCTGTGAAACGAACCAGTATCCTTTATAGGGCTAGGCAAAAAGCTTGACCATTTTGCCACTGAGACCCGCTTGTAACATATAAATTACATATCAGGATTGATGATAGTGATTATGCTCATAAACAAACATTTAATATCTTACCTTTTGGTAAAGACATGCACTGGAAGCCTTCAACTATATTACTCTGCAGTGTTGAGATCTTTGTCATTGATGATCTGATTTGTTCACATATCTGTGCTTATACAATTTGACTTACTGCATTATGTGAATTGTGCTGCTTAATTGTTTTGAACAAGGTGAAGGTTCAAACACAGCTTATCACAAACATCAGAAAGAGACAATCACAGTTTGTTGGTCATGTTATGAAAAGAAGGATATTAGAACATGTTATCCCCTCTTATGTGTCTCCACCTTGTAGTGGTAGAGGGGCTTGTGTGTCCCAATGACCCTAAGAGCTATGCTGACGGTAGTTTAGCTACTGGTAGGGTCTCCCGTGTCAGACAGGTTGAAGGAGAGGAACCAGACAAAGAGAGACACGCCCTAAATTTCATGATGTCACAAATGAAAATAAATTGATATGGTGCTAATCTTGTAGAGCCCTGCCAGGCAGAGATAGTGCCAAACCTTTGCCTCAAAGGGGTCCACCCAACACTACTGGTGGGCACCTACCCCTGTGCTGTGGAGTCAAGGCACAGGGCAATGGGGTAAAAACTATTGACCAAATATCAAGGACACTCAACATACTACAGTGGAATGCTGAAGGAGTTTTAAATAAAAAACTTTCTCTAACAAACCGTCTTCATGAAGACAAAATTGACATGGCATGCATCCAAGAGACACACCTCAATGCCCATCACAGATTTTCTGTCAGAGGATATCAAGCTATACGCTGCGACTGAGAAGGGCACAAGGGAGGAGTTCTAATACTTATTAAAAACTCTATACCAAGCAGTGAAGTAGCTGGGAACTCAAATAACGAATCTGAAATTATGGATGTTGATATCGGGATAAAGGAGGAGAAAATCAGAATATACAATTTATATAGCCCAGCAAACAAAGATCTTGCACTTTCAAGAATGGAAAAAAATTACACAAACTGCATTGGAGTTGGAGACTCTAATGTCGCTCAGAAAGATGGGGGATACCCAAATACTGACACCAGAGGAGATGAAGTGGAGGACTGGGAAATAGACTCCAATCTTCATTTAATTAACAAACCAAAAGACAAACCCAGCTTCTACTCTAGAAGATGGTGCAAATCTTTCACTCCTGACTTAGCCTTCTGCACAAGAGACATTCTTCACAAAACTGATCTCAGTGTACTAGATTAGTAAGCAGGCAGCGATCACAGACCAGTAAAGCTTGTTGTAAATATGGATTATGTCCCACAGGATCCGAAACCGTTGCCTCGATAGAATTACAAATGAGCTGATTGGCATAAATTTGCTTTGCTGACAGATGAGTACTATAAAAACATAAATACACGATATCGCAACATAAAGACAATAGTAGAAAGTCTAAACAAAGCAGTACTGCAGGCAGCATATGAGTGCATTCCAAGAGGTGCAAGGAAAAATTACAAACCATACTGGACCAAAGAACTGCAGATCCTGGAGGAAAAAGTTGAAGAGGCCAAGAAGACAGCATAGAGAGAACAAACAACTGAAGCAAACATTTCCATGAAAGCCATCTCAGCAAAATACAAAAGAACATTAAATCAAACAACTAGAAATACCTGGCAAGAAAAAACAGAAAGCCTCAACTTGGACAAAGATGGAAATAAATTGTGGAAATTAGTAAAAGCCATGAACAATGAAGGGCCTAGTGACAAAAAAATAACTATTAAACTGGGTAACAACATACTAACAGGAAAAAAGGCTGCAAATACATTGACGGAATACTATGCTAGTGCAAACCACATTGATATCACAACAGAACACAAAAAAGCAATGAAAGAGCAAGGGACATGTCAAAATAACACAGAGAAATCAGAATTTATGATAGAAAATCTGAATAGGGAAGAGCTGGAGCAGGCAGATATTACCTGAAAAAGAAGAAATCACCAGGGAAGGATGAGATCACAAATAAAATGATAATAGGACTGGGTAAAAAGGCAAAAATGCAATTACTAGCAGTCTTTAACTGCAGCTGGAAGAGAGGAATAGTCCCTCAGACATGGAAGGAAGCTATGCTTATACCAGTCCAGAAGAAAGGAAAAGACCCGGTAGAACCAAATGCATATTGACCAATCAGCTTACTTAGCTGTGTAGGGAAATTGATGGAACACATTATAAATAACAGATAAATGGGGCATCTAGAAAAAAATCACCTACTAACTCCAGAATAGACAGGATTCAGAAATTACAGATCCACTGAAGACCAAATAACATATATAGCCCAGGAAATAGAGGATGCCTTTGAAGAGAAAAAACACACACTAGCAATGTGGGTAGACTTAGAAAAAGCATTTGATAAAGTGTGCAAAGAGGGACTCAAAAGTAAAACTACAAAAAATGCACGTTTGTGGAAAAATGTACAACTGGATCAGTCACTACCTTTAGAATAGAACTGCCAGGACAAAAGTACAAGGACAAACTAGGAAAAAAATGTTGTTAGAACAAGGTGTACCCCAAGGGGGAGTATTGTCACCAACATTGTTCTTAGCAAATTGTTCTTGTAAATGCTATTACAAGTAATTTTCCAACCAGAGTAAACACCTCATTCTTTGCAGACGACTTAGCTATATGGACTAGCGAAGAACATATTAGTGTAGCCAACAATTGAATGCAGCAAGCCTTGTCAGTGTTAGAGGAATGGCAAAAACATGGCTAGTGAATGTCAGTGAAGAGAAAACAACATGCACTGTATTCTCCCTCTCAGATAAAAAACAGCCAGTTAAGCTAGTGGTAAATGGAAAAAATACTGTTTCTAAGAAAAAAATCCAAAATACCTAGGTATCACATTTGATTGCCGCCTGACATGGAATTATTCTGGCTAGCTCTCGCACCTTTTGAGGATAAACTGTGTGGAGATGTCAAAAACCTCAAGCTAACTGCTGATTTCTTCAAATATATCTACACTGACATCTGAAGGTATAAGAAGAATAAAACTGTCCAGGATTCTCTGAGCTGATAGTCCCTAGAGATGCAGAGCTCATAAACCATGTAAAACTATAGTGGATGAGGAAGTCCACTGCAGTAAAAGTCTAACATGCAAAAGAAGCAAAGTACTCATTTTGTTGTGTAGGTAAATGAAATCCCAGGTCTGCAGGCTGCATACTGTTGGCTACAAAAGAGATAGCCCATGATGTATGAGATGTTCAATATATGGAAGTAAGGTTAAAGAGTAATAAGCAGGACGTGACGATTCCTTGGGTGAGCCCAGTACCAGGCACCCTGTATTAGCTCTGCATTTGTGGATGCCTCCTTGGATGGCCGGGAATGTTTATGTTCTGCCCCTGCCTTCTCTTGAGGGCTGATCAGAATTACGTGGTCTCTCTGGAAAAGCCTGATTGGGGCATCACCTGTGGCCTGGGAAATAAAGATGACCACACAACAATGAGACTGCCATGTCCGCAGAAACTAACCGGGAAGGCTAACCCGTTCAACAAATGCCCGCAGAAGTCGGATGTGTTGGCCAAAGGTGCAAATATCGCAGCCATGCTGTAAACGGACACAACGCAATTACATCTTCGGATGAACGCAAAAGAAGAAGATCATGTTGTGACCACTAGAAAGACCAGTGGAAAGAGAGACAGAGGAAGACTGCATGAGAAGTTGCTTGACAGCCTTTCCCCCCCCCCCCCTCATGGCTTGGTGGGTTTCAATACTGATACATGCAGATCTATGGAGGGGCATGATGGCCATGCCAGTCAGCAAGCCCCAGGATGATGATTGCTTAATTATATTTAATGCCTCATTGAGTTCATATTTCTTCTTCTTATACTCCATGTCATCATGTCTCTGTCAACAGCCTTCTGTCTCATGTACTGCCAGTCATTTCTGTTACAGGTGTTCTTTCATGCTCTCCCTGCAAACTATCTTAAAATCCTCTTTTTGTATGTGTATGCCTCCCACTACCTATTTTACCTTCCAGTTTCCCAATTCATATTTAACAGCTGCAACAAACAAAAATTTTTTTATTATCAGGTTGACTGTCTGCTGGATCTCTATGAGTTCCTCAAGGAAAGATCCCTGACAACAAATCTTCGTTTCTACCGTTTACTGCGGGATGCATATTTCAACAGTGGAAGGATTGAAGAAGGTGTTCTGATGCTGAGAATGATGTATCACAGAACTCGTGATTTCACTGACACAGAAATATTTTTCACCTTGCTGACGACAATGGTTAGATTAATACAAATGGTTATTGTTCTGTTGAACACTTTTCTCCACCTCCTCCTATATCTTTCTTCTACTGCATTTTATACTTTCTTCTGCTCCATCCTTTACCATTTCCTGCTGTGTCCTATAAAATGTTCTCCTTCAGCCAAGAAATGTTCTGCTGTCAGGTAATTCACCAGTGCGTAGGGGTAGAAGCATAGACAGAGCTGATCTCATCACTGCTGCAGAGACTGCACTGGTGAATAATGATCAAGCTCTGACGCTAACACAGTTTCATGATCTGGGAGTAAAGCTTGGTAAAGTATGTCTATGCTGTCTTGGAGGTCAAGACAGGAGACACTAACCAACTTATGGGAGCAGTCAGTAAAGGTACCTTGGAGGATTGAGAATGAATGGGAATTCCCAGTGAGCAGTGATGTCGATTGTGATAATATATTTTTTCTGCTCTACATGGTTTTCTACTTTACCATCCTCATTCTTCTCCCTTTGAATTGTTAAAAGGGCTGCCTAATTGAGCAGTTATAATGTTGGCTCTCTTCTAGGAAAATCTGGATTAAATTAACATAATCTTTAATGTGCCTTTACAAAGACATTAACAACTTTTAATAATTCCCACATTTTCACACAGGCTTTATTACAAATGGATAAAGTTAAATATTAATCATGCTTCAGACCCATTATAGTTTCTTAATCACCATCTATATTGACAAAAAAGGAAAATTAGTACAGGGTATTTGTAACCACCAGCAAGGAGATCCAAATTTGAATTTTGAGATCTTCCCTGCAGTAACATACGGATGTGAGTCGTGGACAATCTCCCAGTCCTTAAGAAAGAGAATAGGGGTTTTTAAGCTGAAATGCTATAGAAAAATTCTCAGAGTATCTTGGACAAAAAAGAGGAAAAATACTGACATCTTGAAAGATCTGAACATCAGGGAAGATCGGCTAATAAACAGCATCCTGTCTCGGAAACTGAAATAATTTGGTCATATCAAGCGCCATGATGGATTAGAAAAAAAAATAATAGCAGAAAGACAGGGTACCAGGAAGAAGGGGCAGGGGCCAATCAACACGAAAATAGGCACAGGATATAAGTGACTCCTTGAGTATGTAACCACTAAATTCACTTCTCTTTTTTTTTTCAGTAACATTGTTTAAAATATTGCTGTACTCTTGTCATTTTGAACATTAAAGGACACCCACATTTAACACCGGTTTTTTTCTACAAATGGATGGAGAGGTAATTGTTATGCATCAACAGTTTCTTTCTTAATCACAGTTGGTCTAATAATGGAAGAGTTGGCTACATATTTGTAAGTCTTGATATTTTCATAATGTGATTTCCTCCATGAGGGGAACAAACTGCAAGAACATTTGAACAGACTAAGTTCAGCATCCAGAAGATATAATATGACAATAAATACTACTAAAACTGAAGTAATGCAGGACAGTAGAATTCCTAGTCCGCTACATTTAGGGTTGAATTGTACTTGTCTGAAGGGAGTAGAAGAATTTAAATATTTTGAAAGTTTATTCTCGGAGGAATAGATTGGGAAATAGAAACAATATGCCAGTAAACCAGTGCACTTATATACCAACTGACACCATTATTGAGACATCAGATGTCAGAATGGGTGCCAAGAAACAGATTATAAAAAGCATACTCATATCAATATTGTGCTACCAGTGCCAGACTGGGGAATTTTCAAAAGCTAACCTATGTAAAATTAACACCTCTAAAATGAGATGCCTGAGAAAAGCCGCCAACCTAACCACCCGAGACAAAGATAGAAATGATATCAGACTGTAGGAATAGCACCATGCAGCAAATTCATTGAAAAACAGAAGATCAAATGGTTTGGTTATATAAGAAGAATGCAGCCAGAACAAAAAACCAAAGCAGGCGCGACACATGGAAAGATCCAAAGTGAAATCACGAGGTCCCCATAAAAGATTATGGATTGATGACATTAAAAAGCTTCTACATTGACACGGAATGAAAGTACCATTGCTACCCAATGGATCACACACTTGTCCTGCCTACAAGGCATAACTGCAGAAGTTTATCATTGATGATGATGATGATTTTTTGCTTTAATTTATTCTTGTACTGAAATAAATAAAAAGAATTGCACATTTACCCATAAACTTTTTTTTCTACAATTGAATAAAAATTGAAAAACAGTAAAACCATGCTAAATTCAGAGGGACTGAAAACTCAAAAGTTTAAATAAAAAAATACTAACCAGAAACTAATACATATAATAAGACATGGTCATCTCTGCTGTGTTCATGTTAACCAAGTGTTCGTCTGACATAAGTTTATGTTAATGAGGTTTACTGTTTTATGTTTTTCACTGTGTTTAGTTTTAGAACAATATATTTTTGTTATCCACGTACTGAAGCACTCTGACCATCTTTTTTATATTTTTAAAATGCAGGTACTGAAGCACTTTGAGCATCTTTTACCGTTGATAGAAAGTTTTATTGTAGATCTGGAAGAGAGTGATCCTCCTGTGCTGTCATCGAGAGCTTTGCTATGGCGTTGTTATGTTTTAGCTGAACAGTTTCAGAAAGCTGATGAACTTTTGGCCAACCATGAACATGTGAAAAAGATGTTGCCAGAGCAAGTAATGTTTCATGTGTGTGTGTTTTTTTTGATGCTGTCAACTTTATCTGTTCAGTGGTACCTTGACATACCAACTGCTTTAATCTGAAAATTTTGAGAAACAAACTTGTTTCATATCCTATTTTGACCTCTAACCTATGGAGAGCAATGCCAGGGGAATGGGGGGGGGGGGGGGGTTGAACGGTCAAAGGGTGGAGAACAGACAAATAGAGACACCCTGGTCTAGGTTGGGGGTGGAAGCGTGGAGCCGACACCTTCACCTTCGTAAAACTTTATCGTCACGAAACAGATATCTAAGCCTCCATTTCGGATGGATTTAAACGGGTAACGAACCTGAAACGTTGAAGGACTTTTGAGATTTGGAACATGAAATGTACGAACCCTTTATAGAGCTGGAGCAGCTGAAGAACTGACCCATGAGATATCAAAATACAGAATTGATATAACGGCAATTCAAAAAAAAAAGATGGCCAGGACAGGGTACAATAGAGGAAAATGAAATGATCATAGTGTATGGAGAGAGTCGCAGTGGCGGAGCGGCTAGATGCTGGCCGCGGATCAGAAGGTTATGGGTTCGCTCTCTGTCGAAGCTGGACTTTTAAAAAAAATGACCTTGGCTTCCAGGTACCGGGTGCAGTCCCAGGAAGTAAAGGTGGCCGGCTTGATGCTTACCACATCACCCATCTTGTGCCGATTGGTTTATAAAATATAGGTCTAGTCCTGTACTCCTAAAGGCATGGAAAAGGGTCTTTTACTTTTTTTTTTACTATACTCAAAACAAACATGAACTAGGGACAGGATTTGTTATAAAGAAAAAGTTGTGGGAAAGTATTATACATTTTGAAGCTATTAGTGATAAATAGGATAAGTAAGTTACGAATAAAAGGAAAATGGAAAAATATCACGATGATTAATGTGTATGCACCAATTGAAGATAAAGAAGATATTATTAAAGAAGAATTCTATGATCTCCTTGAAAATATCATAGATGAAGCTAAAAAACGAGACATTGATTGTCTAAGGAGATTTCAGTGCAAAAATAGGAAGAGAAAACACCTATAAAAATGTAGCAGGCATGGAAAGCCTACATACAAATTCAAATGATAATGGATGGAGATTAATCAATCTTGTCGTAGCGAAAGGACTACAGATAAGCAGCACCAGATTTCAAATAAAAGATATACATAAACAAAATTGGAAATCATGTGACAAGAGAACTTATAATCAAATAGATCACATTTTAATTAAAAAAATAGAAATGCTTCGAACATTCAAGTTAGAAGCTACGGAGGAGCTGAGTGTCATAGTGACCACCAAGTGGTTGGTGCAAAATTAAAAATCAAGTTAAACAGATCCTTCTACACAAAGTTACAAAGATCACATCCAGAGTACAATAGAGACAGATTACAAGAAACATCCATATCAGAGAAATTTGTAGATGAATTAAAACATTAAACTGAAATTTTACAAATTCCGTCAGAAGCAGTCAGTAAGAAAAAACATGCCAGACAGATTTGGCTAAATGATACTAGTAACATACAAAATGAAGAAAATGGAGAACAGAATGTAAAGAAGCTACAAAAGTAGTTAAACACCAAAAGTGAGAATACATGAACAACATTGTCATAGATATGGAAGCTAACCATCAGAACAACAAATCCAGAAAGTTTTTTAAAGAACTGAAGGCTGTAAAACGCGGGCATCAACAATGCATTTATAGTTTAAAAGATCACAATGGGAACATGATGAATAATAATGAGATATAAGAGATAGAAGGAATACTTTGCTGAATTGTTAAATTGTGAAACTCCACTTAATACTTATCCACAGGAAGAGATATTAACATGTGAATCAAATATTGAAGAGCCTGATTTTAAAGAAGTACTGTATGTCATAACATGGCTCAAAAACAATAAAGCAACTGGTGCTGATGGAAGTGCAGCTGAACTTATAAAAGAAGGTTGTCATGCCTGTGATGTGCGACGGCTTGCTGAGAGGCGTAGGTTCCCATTGAATTGTGTGATTGGGTACAATAAAATGTGGCATCAGATAAATTACAATGCCACCAGCCAAGTATGCTCGAAAAGTATGAACTTCAATGCTTCCAAACGGAAATTTGAACTATGAACTCTATGAGAATCGGTATAATTGGTGTATTTGTTGACAACTTGATCAATGAGAAAATGTGCAATAATAGGACTCTTGGTGAAAACTCACCCAAACACGCCAACACAAGCTACCGCAAATACTTCAAATGACATCTTCAATTCAAACTACAGGTCAACAGCCCGACCTTGGAAGTCCGGACGGTCACATCGATCTCCTTCTCTGCAGTCTGAACAGGGCAATGTCCCTCTTTAATGATTCGGCCTGGAGAATCCCTCCTTAAATTTTACCGGCTTCCTGCTGAGTGCATTAGACAATGTACTAGCTTTTTCGCTGAGTGGAGTCCCGGGGTAGAGCGTCCTCAAGGATCCACTGAGACATGACCACATGTCTGTCTCCTTCAGACTGTATACATCGAATGCTTAGACAATTCCTTAACAACATTACTTATTGTTTTGAAATCCTATTTGCTCACTCAGTACTGGTGCGTTCTAGTGCATATCGGCACGAGACAAAGCCTTACATGTAAAGATATATGAGTTAATCAAACTAGTTTGGAAGACGGAGAAATTACCCCACGAATGGAAAGTGTTTTTAATGAATACCCATTTTTAAGAAAGGAGACAAATATAAGTGTGAAAATTATCGAGGAATATCACTATTATCTACAAGATATAAGATACTATTGGCGGTACTGCTAAACAGGCTAAATCCATGCGTCCAAAACATATTAGGAGATAACCAAGCAGGTTTCTGACAGAACAGATCGACAGTAGATCAGATATTAATTTTACAGCAAATAGCAGAGCAAAATTGGGAATATAGAAGAGATGTACATAATATTTTTGTGGATTTTAAAAAGGTGTATGATATGTTACATAGAAACAGTTTATGGAATGCTATGACCAAACTATGTATGGAAGACACTTGTAATACAGTAATATATAAAGGCAGAAAGTCAGACCCTTTTCAAATAACATCTGGTTTAAAGCAAGGAGATGCTCTGTCCCCACTTCTTTTTAACTTGGCCCTGGAGAAAATTAGAAGGCAATTGAAACAAGAGTGTATTCTATAGGAGAATGTATAAGAATACTTGGTTATGCAGATGACATTGATATCGTTGGAGAAAATGAACTAAAGAAACAGCTCAGAAAATGGGACTAGTTGTCGATCAAGATAAGACAGAATACTAATATTAACCAGACAGGGAAAGAACATAAACTTCGGCCATATACAAGTCGTTAAAATGAAAATCAGACGAATGGAAACATATAAGTACTTGAGTGCAAACTTCAACTGCTCCAACATGCTAGAGAAGAAATACTGTCTAGAATACAATCTGGAACTAAAGTATACTATGCGCATCAACATCTCCTAAAGTCAAAGTATCTGTCTCGCAACACCAAGATCAACATATATAAAATGTTGATAAGACCGGTCGTTTTATATGACTTTGAAACTTGAAGTACAACTAAAAGAATTGAAGCCTTATTACAGGTTTTCAAAAACAGAGTCTTATTTGGACCCATCAAAGATGCAAACAGCGGCAAATGGAGAGTGAGGAGCAACAGCCAAATTCATAGTCTGTTTAAATCACTGTTGATCACTGGCATCATGAGAGCTAATAGACTGAAATGGTTGGGGCATATTGAAAGAATGTCAGATGATAGAGAAGTAAAAACTGTATACACAAGGGAGATGAATGGTCGTAGACCATGAGACAGACCAAGAAGACAATGGAGAGATAATGTCCAGACAGACCTGCAGACACTTGGTGTCACCAACTGGAAAGAGAAGGCCAACCAGAGAGATGAATGGAGGCAGGTGATATCTGCAGCAGTGAACCTCAAGGGCTCAGAATGCTGAAGAAGAACAGAACTAGTATCCATAGTGTTGTTAGACATGGAGAAGATGCTAGTGCTGACAAAGAAGTCACCAAAAAGTTAATGAAGGAATTTCAGAAGCTGGTGGAGTCTGAGGATTACAGGGGAGAACAAGTTTTCAGTTGTAATGAAACTGAGCGTTTCTGGAAGAAAATGCCTAAGAGAACTTCATCAGTAAACGCAAATGGCTTTGCTAGTACACAAGCCGATGAAAGACAGACTATACTCTTTTATGACCATGCCAGAGGTGATCTGTTAATAATACCTGTTTGTTTATCACTCTGAAAATCCTAGAATCTTTAAACAGCTTAAAGTTAACAGACAGAAACTCAATATTATGTTGAAAAGTTACAGCAGAGCTTGAGTAACCAGCAGTTCTTCTGAGAATAGATTTTGTTTCCCGTAACATGTCATGTTTTCGAGATACACACTTTTTTTTGTTTAAATGTGTTTTTTGTTTAAATGTGAACAAATTAAGTTTGTTAGTCGAGGTACCACTGTATATTTATTTTGTGTGTGTATTAATTGCTTCAGTCCTGCTGTATGGTGCAGAGGCATGGACGATGAACAGGTAATGAAGTATTGAGTCTCTGGAGATGTGGATGTACAGAAGAATAGGCCCTATTTCATGGACACAAATACAGTCACATTCAGAGGTTCTGAGATACTGGGGGGGGGGGAATTAAAAGAGTTTCAAAAGGAAATAAAAAAGAATCAAGTAAAAAATGTTAGCCACTTCAAAAGACATTACACTCCAATAAAATCCATACTAAAGGGAAAAGTTAAAGGCAAGGGAGCAAGAGGGAGACAGTCATACAAGTGGAAGGATATCAACAAAAGGATGAACAGCAGTCTGAGAGAGTGTACATCTAGGGCAAGAGACAGAGCATGTTGGAGATCCAATGTAGCCAGCCTTTAATGTGGAGATGGCACCTGATTGATTGATTGCTGCCTAGAGGTGATAAGGAATCTCCTGCCAACAATTGTGTTTGAAACTCAAGTGTAGCCAAAACACCCCTAGTGTTAAAATCATCATTACTCAGTGCCATCTATATTCAGCAAAATAATTTTTTTTTTTTAAACTGATTCAGTTTTTTAGAACTGGACATCATAACATATCCATAGATGTTCCTTTTTCCACAACAAATGTCTTAAGGGTGTAGCCCAATAGCAACCATCATAAATCTTCCTCTCATACATTTCTTGACAGATCCACATTTAATTCCAACTTCATGCAGCCTTACACATTTTATCTAAACATTTTATCTTCTATCAGCACTCATTCTTAATAGTTTAGTTAATCAACAAAGCTCATTTCAGTCCATAAGTGATCACACATCCTCCTAAGTAAATCCTGCAGTCCTGTGTTGGTTTCTTATTCTTCTTCAGCTTCCTGCACAGTTTTCTTGTCTGACCACACCCCTTTTAACATGTTCTTGCAGTCTAGTCATGGTTGCAGATTCAGAGTCATCACTTGATTCACGATAACATCTTATTTCTCATAAAGCCTTCAGTGTATCAGCCTACTCCATGGTACATCCGCCCCTATGAATATGAAATTATGTGTCAGCCCCAATCATTTCATAGACTCCAACCATTGTCCTTGGACCCAGTCCATTCTCATTGAGTCACTGAGAAAACATGTGTGGTTAAAGGTCTTTATATATAAAGTTTGGTGGGAATAGATCGCAGGCAACTTTCTTTTGTCCTGAACCTACATTGTACAGTCTCCTGGGACATATTCTTACTTCTTGTTTGCTTCCTCATGTATATAAATGATACCTTCTAGCTTTTTTTCCTCCCAATCTTTCCCTTCATCATGATTTTCTGTAGATTTTTGTGTAACTTAATGTGAATTGAACACTATTTCTTGCACTATTTGTGTGTTTTGTGTATGTACATTTTTTTTTTTTTAGCAGCAACCCCTTTTTTAAATTGATTTCTTCTAGGACTTCCTTGTAAATTTTTTTTAAATCAGAAAACTCAGCCAGTTTTCTGAAGACCAACATTTCTTTCTTCTTTTTCTTCTTGTCACATCCTTGATTTACATCGAGTTTTTATGATAAAAATTATTAGTCAAAGATCAAAGAAATTTGCTGCTTTAAGAAAACAGTAGCACCTGTGCAATTGTAAATTATAAAATCTTAAGGATGGGAAATCTAAGTCCACATACAAAAGTGCATGTTGATCTGTACAGGAGTTTTTGAGATATTTATTGAAGTGTGAGGGTATGAGATTTGAAAAACACTATAGAAAAAGTCTAGTTAATGAATTTTAAATTTTCCTATATTGAAATATAAAGGGACAATATAAAAACATGTATCAACATTTATCAGAAAAAGAATATGACAAAATATTGGGTACATCGTAATGAGAAGCACCCAGAGAATCCCTAAACAAGCACTGAAATGAGAAACACATAGACTGTGGAAACGAAGACATCCGAGGGAAACCCTAAGATGAACTTTGTTGAGAAAGACAAAAGGTGTATGACTGGATTCCATCCATTAAATCGAAAGGATTTCACAGGCTAGAATGGATTGAAGAGCTAGACTGTGAGCCCTGTGTGATGTATAGGGTTATTGAAAATGACACACTTTCATTCATGCATATTTACTTGAATATACGAAGATACTTTACATATTAATAATAAACATACAAGAGAGAGAAGAAGATCTAAAGTTTACAGACTGAGTTCACTGAAGCTGTGATACGGTTTTGCAGGTCGACCATAGTTTTTGGTAGACATGGTAAGTACACAGATTTTTTGACATATCCCCACAGGAAAAAGTCACATGGTGTGAGATCAGGAAATCTCCGAGGCCACACCAGAAAAGCCAGGTCTTTATTTACCACGTGACCTATCCATCGATGAGGAAGGGCTTCATTCAGAAATCCTCCAACAGCATGGTGCCAATGTGCGAAAGTATATCCATCATGTGAATAACCTTTTATAATGGCATGGCAGAATGATATTGAAACTCAAAATTTCAAATAACAATTAAAAATTTAAGAAAGGCTTTACTTCAAATTGCAGGTAACAAGGATAGTTCAATCTCCACTACAGTTGGACTACAACAAAAGCACGGTGTTGATGTGGCTGCTGCGACTACCAGACATCCAAGCTGGCCTGAAAGCAAGCGTGTTGGATGCACTCATTCAGCATAAAAGTAACGACTAAAGGCTTGTTTTTTTAGCTTTTATTGTTTATCTGCTTAGTTGTGGGGGGGGGGGGAAGTGTAAAGGGTCTCTCTTGGAAAGTGGTCAAGCTGTTTTCTTCAGGCTGTGAAAGTCATGGGTTCATTTCATGACCCATCGTTCAGTTCACAAACAGTTTTTACAGAGATCCTTGCAGATGAGTGCTGGAGCTATGGAGTTCTTGCTTTGTATTACATTCTTAACAGGTGGCTAGCAGTTCTGTGGAGCCATACTGTGTAGTGGACATTACCTGACCTTTAAGCGGAATAGTGTTCACTTGTGTGTTACTGCAGCCCATAGTAGAAGCAAAAAATAGTAATGTCATTTCCTATGATACATTTCAAATTGACGATTAAAAGGTTTGGCAGGGGAACTGGCTACTTCATCCCTTAGTAAACTCTAGGGGCAAAATCCAGCCAATCAAGAAACAGTCTATAGAGGGTTATTAGTTCATAGATGCTCCTATACGAGCTGGAAGGTATAGGAGACATATTTACATATTACTTTCCTTGAGTGAATATTCACTTTTTTAAAATTATAATAAATAACTTATAATTTTGAGAGCATGCCTCTTTTCTGTGGCAACACACAAACTGTTTGCATAGAAAGTTGGTTATAAAAAATATAAAGTAAGGACTTTTTTTAAACACCAGTGACAGTTTGGGCGTGTGATGTGGGTATTTTTACAGACTAATTGGCACTCAGTGGGTGATGGCTCTCGGTGGGTGATGCCTCTCGGTGGGTGATAGTTCTCGGTGGGTGATGGCACGCAGTGGGTAATGGCCCTCAGTGGGTGATGGCACTCAGTGGGTGATGGCACTCAGTCGGTGATGGCACTCAGTTGGTGATGGCACTCAGTCGGTGATGGCACTCATTGGATGATGTGGTCAACATCATACCAGCTCCCTCTACTTTTCAGGACATCATTTAGTGCCCATTTTAAGCTGACCTGGGAGCTAAGGACATTTTTTTTTAAAATCCACCTTGATTGGGATTTGAACCTGTGACTTTAAGGCTGGCAGACAAGCATCTAGCAGCTTCCTCTGGGTACTAAACATACATTTAGAACTGTCTGAAAAGAAAGATTTGAACCTATATTCAACAGGCCAGTAAGCTAGCACTACTCTGCCATGGCTGCCAGCATAGTATATGTTCAACAGACATGTTTTGTTTTGACTTGCAGGTGAAGAAGGTGAATGGTTGCAAGCTCTGGAGTTAATATCCACTGCAGTTAACAAAGGCCTGAAAGTTCACCAACAGACAGTACAAGTGTTTCTCATGAAATTTCTTGGCCAGCTATCACCTCAACAGGTTCAGCAACTCACAGACTGGACAGATCACTTAGAAACAGGATTGGATAAGGACAGCAGCTGACAGATTTATGTTTTGTTTGCTGATATGTTTATGTGAGATTGTTGTTTACTTTTTGTGTGTTTTTTTGTTTTGTTTGTTTGTTAAACAAATAAAGAGAAACAAAGAAACATTGAAAGTGTAATTGTAGGCTGCATGTTCAAAGTAAATTATTGCAACTTAGTACCAGAAATAGAAATAGAACTTGAATGAGTAGAGTTCTGGATGTGACTGTTTGACGGGTGTTAGATTTGCAAGTTAGAATTATAGTGTGTGTCGATTTAAGCATAGTGACAGATAGTCTGTGTAATAATGTGTTTAGCTGGATAGTAGTATTATTACAGTGTTGACAGAGATAGGATTTTGGGCAGTAATTTATGTCTGTAGCTCACTAGGTATTGGAGTTATTCTGTTAGCAGGATTAGTGTAGTAATTGGTGACTTGTTCTGTCCTTACACATCAGCCTGCACTTTTCAGGCATGCCATAGCCCTGATGTGGAGTCCAGTGACGGAGGCAAAAGCTTGTATTGGAAATAAGGGTGGTTTTGCCCAGGTATTATCTGTAGAACGGGAAGGCCCGGGAGTGAGTGGCGATTTTAAAGTCCTAACGGCTGCGTTTGGGATAGTGGGGGACCATAATTTCTGGGGTTTACTACCTAGTGTTTATTGTTCTCTACATTTAAGATTGATGTGTGTGTTCTGTAAGTGTTAGGCTTAGTGTGTTGAAGGAATAAATTGTCTACCAGTAGACTACCAACGAGCCACATACCTGCACAGCAGGAATAAGATCTCTGAAACCGTAAAGGAAAACACAGTCAACAAATGCCCGTAGAAGTAGGATGCAAATATCGCAGCCATGCTGTAAATGCAATGCAATTACATCTTCAGATGAACACAGAAGAATATATGTTGAATATGTGTTGTCCTATGTATAAATGTGCGGTATTATGTGGACAATTTTGTTTTGTATGTAGTAGTAAATGTAGATTTTTACCCCACCAGGACATCACACAAGCGATAAACACCTGATGACACAAAGTGCCACCATGTGAATGAGGATCACCATGGAGAGGTCCTAGAAACTGTTTTCAGCCATTAGACCATATTTATGGTCGGGCTATATTGCGGCCCCTAGAAAAAGCCATGGTGGGGCTTCAAAATAGAGAAAAATTGCATCTCACAGGGAGATGACTGGGTGTATATTGGTAATTATGTATGTAAAATATGTGTGGTATAATATAGAGAATTTGTGTTGTAGGATATGGGTGGCCTCTTATGTAGAATATGTGTGCTTTAATGTAGGTATACATTGTTAGCAGATCACCTGTGAAACTGTAATAAAGTATATTAACTGGATATCGTCTACTGTGTGCATACAGAATGTCATTCTTGTCTTTCGTATGAACAAACCCCTAACAACCAGTTAGCACACCGAGGAGACAATATCCCAAGTTGGGAGCTTGTCCGGGATTAAGGAAGATAAAATAAATGGAGATAATTTTAAGGTAAAATTGGGTAAAGGAAATAACTTTAAGTAACAATAATTGGGTCATAGCTCCTATGGAGGGAAACATGAAGATCCAATTGAAACGGACATCAGTGAGAGCAGTAACGAAGGTGGAACTTTGCAGATTCACATTACCGTTATGGACTTCTTTTTCTTCTTCTTTTTCTGCTGCTCCTCCTCCTTTTTTGTCAGTTTTTATCCATTTGAGTTTCTTTCAGGCAGGCGATGTAGCTCCCACCGTCTACACCCTTATATTTCCTTTTTAAGTTTTTGTTTATTCTATCATTTATTTCAAGTTTTGCAAGAATTCTAATGCCGTTTTTTCATGTATGGATATAAAAGACCTGTTTTTGTACCTTTGAGGTACTTTGGGTACAAAATGCTAAATACCTGGTTAAGCACCAGCAAGGAAATCAAAGTTAACATTTAAACTATCCTTCTATTCGTCACTAACCTGTCAAGATGCAAACGAAGCCCTATCACATTTAGTCATAATTAATTACAATCAGTAGGAACAAATAGGATAAATGATAACAAACTATCACTTTACAGCACTAACAATGACACAAGTTAACCTCGATGTCGCTATCAGTAATTAAGAGTAGGTCTGGACAAGGATGCAATAGTTAAGAGAATTAACTTCACATCGCCATCACAAACTAACTCGATAGCAACATCAACATTAAAAGATTACTCCAATCACCCTAGCCCTGTAATAGTGAATACTACATAACTTTAAAAAAAAAAATAAGTCTGTCAGCTAAATATAAAAACTAATCTATGTCTCCTATTTAGACAAGCACATTGGGTTCACAATTTACAAGGACAATTACTCCTACTTATCTACTGCTCCATTTATCTTACAATTCCATTTATCTTTTACTATCCCAGATTCAACTTCCAAGGATGACTGATCCCATTTATCTGTCACAGACCTCTGGGTGACCTTGATAGTCCGTGGCTCGTGAGTGGGCCTCGGGCAGACAATCTAAACCTGACGCAAACTGAACCTGAACGCACACAGAGCATACATGACAATCTTTAATGTAAGTACAGATATTACAACGGACAGTTTACTTCCCACTGTGTGGCCACTTGTTACCTGGAAACCTGGCCAAGCGAGCTTTACAATCACTATGCTCTCCACACTGTTACCACAGGCAATCTCAGGTGCGCAAACCACACCTCTGCGGGCTACATCTTTGTACCTTGTCACATGAGCTCACCAAGATATCAGAGCTTCTGTCGAGTGCAAAGTCAGCGTGACAAGGCTAGACATTAGCTCACAAAACATGCATCTAACCGATTCAACTGATCAAAAAGGGATGGACACTACTTACTTTTGTAAGAGGACACAACACCTTTTACCATTAAACTACACAGCACAAACAAGACTATCTTATTATAACATAACACTGTAAATAATCTATGCAGTCACTAAAGTATTATCCTTACTCTAACGTCCCATCTCTGTCTCGCTAACACATCCTATCTGTCCAAAGTCTACACGTCGAATCCCCGGTGGCCTCCCACCTCGTGACTTTTGATCGGTCAACCCGCTCAGTAAGGTAATGGAAAAGAGTTCACTCTTACTTGCGGTTTTCAAGTGGTCTCTTCTGAGCGCTAGTTTCGCCACGGTGTAACCAGCACATACGTGGCCAGTCACGCCATTTACTACGTTGACCTTTGTGTCAACTCTGGGGTGTACACTGAATACGGTGTACCGTCTTTATGGTCTACCCTGCCACATGAGTGTACCAACAGAATTCTGACAGAGTCGGTTTTGTCAGAAATCACCCAGTTACGAGCAACATATTTTTTTCTCTCTCTATGTTGTATTTCCTGTATTCATTTGTGACAATTAATTGTCTTTTTCTGTGTATTTACCCATCAACATTTTCTTGTCAGTCTTTCTGTCACTCCCTACCCTGTCTCCCACTTTCCTGAGACCTACTTATTTACCTGTCTCTTCATGTTCATGTGAATATCGTCCTAGTTAGTTTTCCACTCTATCTCTCTCTCTATTTTCCACCCCCCCCCCCCCATTCTTTCACGTAACCCGGTTTGTTCATTTTCTAGTGAAATGCTCTGTCTCTCTCTCTCTCTCTCTCTCTCTCTCTCTCTCTCTCTCTCTCTGTGTGTATTTGTGTGTTCCCTGCATGTGTCTGTGGATTTCCTCCTTTCAGTGAACTACATCTGGCTTCCTCAATTTGGCTGTCCAAGTAATATTAAGTATTCTGTAAAACTATATCGCTAAGATCTCTCTCTCTCTCTATATATATATATATATATATAATGTTTAGTTTATTTGCTAACTGTAGAATTACCATCTACGTGTCAAAACTGGTCGCCAGTATTGGATAATACAAAAATCCATCCAACTGAAAACAAGCAGTTTTCACTACTGTCCCTCTATAGGCGACTATTTTTCAACATAATCTGACGAATTGTCTTCAACCTGGTGTCGAGCCGAGATCAGTTAAGAAACGACACTCAGTATGCTCTAAATTCCCGTCCCCAGCTTCAGTGGCGAGCGCAGTTCCAATTCTGCTGCAGTGTTGCCACTTTTCTTTGACAAAAAATATCCAAAATGGTGTCAAAAAATATCTAAAAAGATCTAAATCTGCGTGGAAAAGATCTAGAAAAAAACATCCAAATTGAAAAAGTCAAAAATTACATAGCTTTTGTTATGACTTACCCTACATAATTATGTCCTCACCTTCACTGATGTCTGCCTCACAAGATCCACAGGATAAACTTAGCTTGGATAATGAAGTTGAAGCTTCAGATCCAAAATGACCCTGGTATGCTTTAGCTGTTCAAATTTCTTTATAAGTGGAACAGTAGGCTTATTTCTCTAGTCTCATCGGGCCGAATTTTAATGGCACGATAGCATTTAAGTGGTCAAATTTTATCCTGTTCTTCAGGTTATATTTGATATAATTCCTAGCACTAAAAACTCTTTCTACGTCAGCATTTGAGTGGGGTAGTATCATGGCAAACATGACACTTTAAAGAGCTTACAGAATGGACTGTTTGATGAGGCATCTTTAAATTTTATCACTTTAGTTTCTGTTTTGTTTGTCCATTCAGCTAACTTTATTTTGGTTAACTGATATTCTGCTTCCGCGACACTATTATCAGTAGCCACTAAAAATTTTATAACTTTACAATATTTAGGTATGTCCTTTACTGGCTGAAGTATGTTGCTCACAGAAAAAAGTGAAATATTTTTCAAAACATCTAGATTTTCAGGAAGTCTCTGCTTCAATTGCTTCAATAGGGAAATCTTGACAGCGTTTTCTTAAGTTGTTCTCTTCATTCTCTGTTAACAGTCCTTTTGTTTTTAAATCATCAATTTTTGATTCGATTTAATATCCAAGGTGTGGCTTAGGAGCCAAATAGCTCTCTATAGTGCAAGTGAGCAAATCAGCTTTAGAAGTTGGCAACACCAGTCTTTTACCAACTGAGTGAAATAGCAAAGTGAGATCGTCAAGTAATTTAACTTTTTCAACAT